ATCATAGCAGCCAACACTTAGGAAGCTTTGGCTTGTGTTCATGGCATAAAGTTCAACTAAAGGCTTTACACGTCTCCCCAAATACCTCAAAACAATACTTATAAGTAGCTCCTACAATCCCCACTACACAGGTAATATTTGGAGGGGTTAGTAATTTCAGAGCTAATAAGAGCTGAGGTAGGATATAAAGATGGGCAGCCTGACTCCAGAGAGTGTATCTTTAACCATTCTTTGAAAGGCATAAAGACAGATGCAGTGGGGAGTTTGGTACTGAGAAAGGACACCTACTCCAGCTCAGAGGGTCTGAGAGATGGCACTTAGAGATGAGGGACCCCCTACTTGCACTTTTAGGTTTTCTAACATATTCATAGATTGACAGAATGTTAGAGCTAGAAGAACCATTAAAGATCTGCTGATCTCACAGGCTAATTCTATCAGAAATGTTTGCACAAGAGAAATGTCTAGTTCTTCAAGCCACCTGATAATTGGAAAATTCAGATTATAGGTTTTGATTAGGAACTACTGCTTTTATTGCCCTGTCACCTATTCGTGATTAGAAGTGACAGTCAGGTACTAGATAATTGCCAGCCAACTTTCTGACCTCATACCAACAGAAGATTGAAAAGCCATTTCAATAGGGAAGCTTTAAGGAGAAACCAGGCAGCTGATTGATATGTTTTCTGTGTCAAGTAAGTATCAGCAGATACTGGGGCTGTGTTCAAACCCAATGCCTGCTGTATTATTCTTGCTGTAGTGCCACCACAATGTACTCATAGCAGGCACTAGGTGTTTCCCACCAATATTCACTGCCCTTGTCAGGTACAGTGGCATGACCCCGACCCCTAGGAATGAATCAGGACTGCCAGAGATTGGTGCAACAGTAGATATTTGGTTTCATGGCAGACAGGGGAGACCCAAAGAGAAGTCTGGGAGAAGAGAGGAGAGCTTCCTTTCCTGAATAGTAAGATAGCATTTTCCTCAGAAGAGAGCTTTCTGTTCCTACACCTGTTGCTTTCTTTTTTCCTTTTGCCAGGATGTGAAGTCTAGAAATAAAGATAAGACAAATAAGTCATGAGTAGAAGTACAGAAAATCAGAAAGAATTTGGGTCCAGGACAACTTTGTGTCATCCTTTTCCCCATCTGAACTGCCATCCTCAGACTTCTTCATTGTGACAAAATACTAGTTATTATGCTAATGTTAGATTTTCAGATACTTAGAACTCAACGCACTCTTAATTGACAGCTATATTTTTATTAAGGGAAGTGGTATCATAGAATGCCTGTCCTTCAGATTTTAATTTTATTCATATAATCCAAAATGAAGGCAGTAAATGCTCATGAATGAGCAAAACTGCCCCATTTGTTAAATTTCTCCTCCAGGGACTGTATAGGATTGCATAGACTTGGTTTTTTACAAGGTATCACTGTGAATAATACACAGTGGGTTGTGTTGAAGTTTCTGATATAACTATAGATTTAAGAAACCTAGATTAGGCTAATGAGAGTCCCAGGGCCCCCCTGAAGATACCTCTAATCTTAGTCACATGGAAATTGCTTTTATCAAAACCACTTTAAATTCTGCCTTAACTTCCACTTCAGTGGATCTATTAATACATTGTTGAAATCTTAAATTAAACTTTGGTATGGTTTCTAAGACCTAAGGATGACAAAATGTATAAAATACTTTTATAATTCCCAGACTTTGGGCATCTGTTACTTATTGCATTAGAAAGGCACACACCTTTCTCTTTAGCTACCTGCTAATTTATTTAGGAACAAGGACCTCATCTTAGTCATTCCAGTATCTCCTACATATAGTAGACAGCACCATAGCCTCTGGAGGCAAGAACTAAGTATTCACCCAGTCATAACTGTATTAGTTAACAGTAACAATAACAATATTAATAGTATGTGCCTATGCTCACTATGTGCTGAACACCATGTGGGTGCCTTCAATGCATTATCTCATTTAGCCCTCCAAAATCTCCATGAAATAAGCCATTCCCTTCTTTTAAATGAGGAAGGCAAGGCTTACAGAGGTTGGTTGCTTACCTCATTGGCCATGACATCTAGCACTTGGTAGCTCTCTGCTATAAAAGACTATCCTATACATTACAGGATGTTCATCAGTTGGCAAGATATGCCAGTAGTGCCCTCTTCAGTTGTAACAACCAAAAACGTCTCTAGCATTTGCTGGATGTCTTGGGCTAGGTGGTGGGGGACAATGAAATCATCCCTGTTGTAACTATTGTTTTCAAGCCATTGCTAGTAGTCGGGGCCGTGAGAGGGGTCTCCCAGGAAGAAAACCAAGATGGGTGGCTGTTATTATACCTTCTCTCACCACAAAATATACAAAGATGCCAAGGAAGTCTGGTAGAAAATCCTCCTGTCACTGGAAGAAACCTAAGCAGGGTGCTTTTTATTCTTTATGGTTTCTATTCTAGACAAAGAGATGCTATATGTCTTGTGGAGCTGCATCTTGGAGAACTGGGAATTAAGGAAATGGTATAAATCTTCCCAGTTGGTCTGAGGCACACAGAAGGAAAATAAATCTTTTTCTAATTAGCATGAACAGTCTCCCTGGGTGAAATATTGTCTCAGGATGGGGAGTTGCTTTCAGGAGTGGGGAGATAAAGTAAAAGGACTTGGGTGCTAAGTTCACAGGAACCCAGAACATGCATCTGCCCTAAGAAGGCTTTGCCACACAACCAATAATAGAATAAGGCAAAATGGGCCAGAGCTGAAGAACCATGTGCATAAGAGTAGCTTAGAATTAACTCATAAAGGAAAGGCTGAGGTTTGTGAATAAACTATTTTAGTAGTTGTCTTAGTTTGTGGCTGTGAGGAATCCAGGAAGCATTGTGAAAGTGGGGAAGTGGGCAAGAAGTTACCGCCATAGGTCCATGAAACTTAATCCCTTTGGGAGTTACAGGGAGCAAGGGCAGTACATAAACCTGAGGTCTACAGCAAGAGGGCTGCCATATTTATTCACAAATTCCCATTTATCATTGTCTAAGAGCTATGGTCATGGCCAGTCATTTCTCAGCACTTTTGTTGAGTTCTGGCTTGGCATAAGGCAGAATGGCAGGTACTGGTACTTGTGAACACCAGATATCCCTGCATGATGATTGCTGATGGGATATGGGGGCCATGGCCACTTGTTACAGTGGTCAGTTTTTAAGCTTAAAGGTATTACCTGCTTTGCTAGCTAACAATGTTTAAGTTTTAATAAAGACTTTGTTATATTAAGGGACATTAGGAATGCATACCTCACAGATATCTGCATCTTCTTTTTCAAGACAATGAGCTACCATTTCCAGAAACCCAATAGTCATCCCAGCCCTTCCCTCAACCCCTCTCTCTCCTACCCCTTGCATCCAAATCCAACAAGTCCTTTCAGATCCACTTGAAAACATTCTGAAGTTATCTACTTCTGTCTCTGCAGCTGCCTCATTACTTCAGGACAATACCAGTCTTTTTTGCTTGGACGATTACAATAACCTTCTGGTGGGCTTCCCACACCCAGTCTTCTTCAGTTCCTTGAACCCACAAGGCATTTGATTGGTATGCATTTCCTCCTCCTCCTCATCCCACCCTCTATATCCCAATGACTTGCTGCTTCCTATCCTTTAAGTCTGGCTACATGTCACTTCTTCATTGAAGCCCTTTCTTTCTAAAGAAAGATCTTTCCCAGCCCACCCCACTTGTTCTTCTTCTGTTTATTTTCTTCTGAGCCTATTTAAATGTTTGTAGTTATTTTGCTTGTTCATTTTATCTGTCTCCCTCTCTAGAATGTAACCTCTGTATGCAAAGGCAAAGAGAATGTATATCTCCTTGACCCCTTTATCTCTGGGAAAGTTGCCAAATTTAGCAAATAGAAATATAAGATTCCCAGTTAAACTTGAAATTATGAATAATTTTTAAATCAAGACTGTCTAAGCATCGCACAGGACATACCATCACTGAAAATTATTTGTGGTTTGTTTGAAATTCAAACTTAACTGGCATCTTGTAATTTATATGGCAGTCTTGGTCCCCAGATCCTGACACAGAGCTGATTCTCACTACATGTTGTTGAAGGAAAACTTGGTAGCAGCATATCAGAATTGCTGCCATGGCAACAACTATACTAAAATTACAGACTGAAGTAGCAACAAACATCATTTCTCATCATATTTCTATTCTGCATTGCACATCTCACCTCACGCGAACCTAATCAATTCACAACAAAAGTTTTAGGCATCCCAGGCCTGTGGGAAGAACCCTGACCATAGGAGCAGTTAGTTACAGCTTTCCACACAGGACTACCTCATTTTTGTTGTGGTCCCATTCTTGGGTGTTGATTCTCTTTGGCTCTGTTCTGTTGACACTGGGAGCTCCCTAAGGAGAAAGTTTGTTTTTTCCTTTTCAACCATTCACCCCAGCATCTTTCTAGGAGCTGGTAATAAGAACTGAACACTTGGTTACTAAATGGATTGATAAATGGGTAAATAGTAGGGTGAACAGCTGTCCTGGCTTGACCAGGACTGAGGGGTTTCCTAGGATGTGGAGCCTTCATTGTAAAATTGGGGCAGTCTTGTGCAAACCAGGACAGTTGGTCACTGGAAGTAAATGGATTATTTTTTCTTCTTGGTCACTGAGGTTCTTGTTCACTATCTTTGTACTGGCTGCTATGTGATACTATGATTAGATACCTACTGTCTTAGCTGCCCCTCTGTTTTAGGCTGACAATTGGATGTTTGGAGGTCTGCTGATTCCCTCCCTGACTGACCCCTCAGATCTTGACCTGAGCTTCAGCCTTAGCTTGTGGTCCTCATGCTTGTTCTATCTTTCCTGGTCTCTGATCAATACTTGCTGCTAGAATAAAGGCTCTCAGTCTGTGTACATGGGAAGAGGCCTCAGCCTTGTTCCAAACTCATGGGCTTACCTGGTCCACCAATCAGTCCTGGTCACTATAGATTTGTCTCATCAAGACCTGATTATGATCATTTGTCACTTCTACATAATACCAGCAAGTATTTATTGATTAATGAAGCTGACAACCATAGAACTTTCCAAAGACATTTCCACGAATATTCTGAGTTACTTTACTGTAAAAAGTGAGTCTTCATTTTTACCAGCCCCTCCCCGACATGTCACCAAAGGGCACGAGATTCTTGAGGAAACCATACAACTCCATTCTTAATTATGGCCACAAGGATCCAGTCTTAATTAGGTCCTGTTGGGTTCTTGGAATTGGGGGTGAAGTGGCTCTTGAGAGGCTCCCAGCACTTGTAGTAGTTCCCATCCAAACAACTTGAGATCTTGAGTCCCCACTCAGTGGCAACCAGACTTAGAGAAGATTCAAACATAAATGCCTATGGGAAATGAGAAAAGAGGTAAGAAGGAAGAGATGAGCTAACAACAAAGTGCATTTGCTTAGATGTCAAAAGAAAATACAGACAAACCAAATCTTCATGTATGCTGACATGGTGAGGAAAGAAAGCCCAAGCCTTAGGTCCTGACTCTGGTCTTACCATTAAAAATTAGAGATACCTTATTCAAGACCTTTATCTACTCAAGATGTCAAGTTTCATTCTACAGAAAGGAATTAGATACTTAGGCTTCACCTGTCCTTAGAGCACTATGGAACTAAATTTGCTAGTCCAAGGGCAGTGGTAGGAAAATCCTGGGATATTCTTCTTCTCAGAGGCCATCACTTACCATGGCCATCTCCTTGTGAGGGAGAGCAAACTACCACTTTCAGAGAGGAGGAAACTAAGGTACAGAGCTGAAAATTACTTGTCTAAGGTGATAAGTCATGGCAAAGCTGAGATTTGAGCTTGCATTTTTAAGACTCTGAGAGATGGGTTAGGAAAAGGAAAGGAGGAATAGAGAATTTCCTAAGGGAAAGAGCAGGAATGGTGCAGCACTTTTAAAACCCATATCCTAGCTGGGTGTGATGACACATGCCTATGAGCCTAGCAGTCAGGAGGTTGAGGCAGGAGGATCACAAGTTTAAGGACAGTCTAGGCTATGTAGTAAGACCCTGTCTAAGAAAAAAACCCACAAATAAAAGATTGTAATAACAGCTGTATCCCATAGGGTCTGAAGGATGAATGTCCCACTGTATTCTGCAGATTTTTGTCCACACAGAAAGAATATTTGAATATTTTGTGCATCTTAGACATTTCAGCTCATAAGTTGCTGATTTTCAATTCACAGTGGCCTTTACAAATAAGAACAAAAACAAAACCCCAAAATATTAAAATATTATATGCTCATATTAGGAAATTAAATAAATATATATAGACAGGCCAAAGGCAAATGATATAATTCTCTTATGATATGCCGCAGAGGACCTACACTAATGTTTGGGGTCTAAACAATGGAGATGAATGTTTTTGGCTGATTTCCCATGACAGGCTTCATGTCAGGACTAGTAAATATGGAAGTGCTCTGCAAGTTATAAAGCACCACTTGGCTATCATGGTAATTGTAAGAAACCATTATTATTGTTATCTTTTGCTGACTGCTTCTTAGGAGATTCACTGGCTGAGCATTGAAGACAGCACTGAATCAAGTTAATCACTCCAAAATAGAATAAGAATAAGGCATTTAGGTTGAACTGAGCCTATATTATATCACGGGAAATGGTGACAGAGACCCAAAGCTAGATCTAGGTAAAGTGTTGTGTCTTTCCCCACCAGGTATTCTGGGTTCCCAAACACAGAGGATCTCCTGTCTTCCTTATCCCACTATACAGGATAACTCATTTTCACTAGTAAGAAACGTCCTAGGTGAGGTGCAGTGGTTTATGCATGCAAGCCCAGCTACTTGGGAGACAGAAATTAGGAGGATCATGTTCAAGCTCACCCCAGGCAAAAAGTAAGCATGGCCCCATCTCACCAAAACAAGATATGCAGGAGCATATCTTGCAGTCTAAGGCTGGCTGGGCCAAAAATGTGAGATCCTATTCGAAAAAATGATTAAAGCAAAAAGGGCTGGGAAGAGACATGACTCAAGTGGTATTGTGCTTGTCTGGCAAGCAGGAGGCTTGAGTTCAAAATCCCAGTACCACAAAACAAAACAAAACAACAGATTTTAGACATTACTCATAAAAATAGCCCTGTCCTATGTCTCACTGTTGTAGAACACTGCTAGCTTGTGACATGACTAGCCAAAGACAGTTTGGGGCACCAAAGGTACCTGAGAGGCAGTTCTGGGGTAGCTTGAGCACTTCCAGTAGCTGTCAGAGGTAAAAACTTAACTGAAGTAGTCAAACTGGGTCTTACAGAGATTCAGAGTCCTACAGAAACTCTCCAGAGACCCTTGCAAGGAGAAACAGCACCAAGGCAAAGCACATGGAGATAATTCCATGTCTCTTCCTCCTCCAGAGCCGCTCTATCAACTGGCTTTGGGGTTGGGACTGGAAGCACACAGAGTATACAGATGGACAGCTAATGCTCACTGTTCAGGCAGTTTACAAGCTAGGCATGGAGTCAAGTAGGTCTGTGTTATAGATTTTAAACCAGGTAGCATTAAAGGAGTTTGTTGAAAAATGTAAAGCAAATTTGCATATGGTTTAGCATGAAATTACTTCTTGTGGTCCATTAACTCTACCTCCAAGAATGCAAAAAATAAAATAAAATCAAGTACCGCAGCCAACTGCAATTGTGTTCAGCCTCAATGTTTACAGACTGACAAAAGGAATACAAAACAGGTTTCAAATCCCATCAGTTTCATCCCATGCCAAAGCAGAACAAAGGAAAATGAGAAACAGCTGAGGATTGCTGCTCACAAGCCTTGACTACAGTGGGAAAAAGCTTTCTGACCCTCCTTGGCTTGAGAGACCCAATGAGGGTGACATTTGCCTCCCCTGCAATTGTGTCTCTCCAAGATTACTTCCCAAAGCAGAAGATTCTGAAACAGAGTACACTCAGGGCTGTGCACGGATACAAGGAGACCCTTCATATAGTTTTAATAATATTCCCTTGCATTTATACAGTCAATAAATGAGACCCATTCTGGAGATGGGGAAAATCTCCAGATGGAGAGTGAAGTGACTTGTTCAAGGCCACAGTGGTACTAAGATCTAGGATTTAAACCCAGGTCTGACTCCAAGTCCATACCAGGAGCCTAGTATTTACACAAGGATGTGTGTATACATATATGTAAACATATACATGTGGACATACAACTCTTTTCATTTTACCTCTATGACTTTGAAGAAAATAATAATAATAATAATAACAGCTGCTTTTCTTTAAATAATATTGGGGAATCCAAATGCCACCAGAGCCTGGTGTTTAATTTGCTTACCATGGTGCCATCAGCAATCCTCTCAGGTGCCAGCTTGGCCTTGCTGGCCCTCTCAAAGCAGTCTGCATCAGGGCCATGGGGGGTCATGGCACCGTGCAGGCTGCCACCCCCTGGCAGAAATCCACCTTGTTTTGCTTCATAGTGACCTTTGATGAGTCCCATGAATTCACTCATACAGTTCCCTGGGAAGGTTGAAGCAGTATTATTTTTATTATCCAAGGCAAGACCAGTAAAACAGCGAGATCTCACAAACATTACTTCTGCACAATGCCAAGAAGACAGGAGAATCTGATATATCTTACAGAATTGAGAGTATGGAGTGATTGAAGAACAACTACAAAAACATTCATCAGTGTAGAATTCTTGTTAGGCAAAGCTCTACTTCACAGTCACATAGATTATTAGAGGACTAAAGTTCCAGTGTAAGAAACTAAGTTAGATCTAAAGAAAACCAGGTCTAGACAAGATAATTATAAAAATGAAAACTGTAGTAAAGAGTGGATATATACCATCCTCTAAGTTTACAAGTCCCATATCAGAGTCATCTCTTCCAGATCAGAACCTCTTCCCAAATAACTTATACTAGCACATGGGATGATCATATTTCTGGTTCCCAGTCTGGGAAGCTGAAGTGGTGTGTGCGTGTGTGTTGACGGAAGTTGATGTAATAGAAGGAGCCCTGAACTTATAGACCATTATCAAATGATAATCCGTATAATAGAATCTTGATCTGTGTAAACACAGATAGACCATAAATGCTATTTATCATAACAGATATTATCTTCTGAATTTGAATTGAATATAATCTTATTCTTCTGTTCTAGAATCCTAAATCTGAAAAGTGGAAAGGATAACTTGTTCTACTCCATATAGAAGAATTTTCTATATAATTCCCAACAGATTACCTCCTGGGCTCTGCCTGCATGGAAGCTCTCTGTTCTACAAAGCAACCTATCACATTACTGAATGGTTCTGGGTGGTAGAAAGCTCTTTCTATATTAAATGGAAATTTGCTTTCACATAATTTAAATTTATGGGCCCTAGTTGTGCTTTCTAGAGTCACATAAAATTTGACAAAAACCACCATACTTCTACTCTTTCAATCTTACGTTGCTATTAAAATAAAGCTCCTTATTCAATAACAACACCTTTAGGGCAAGAATTAAAGAAATATAACACCTGAGTGTTACCATCTCCATCCACCCATCTACCCATCCCTCCATTGATCTGCCCATTTCCCACTCTACCTATCTGCCTTTCCATTCATCCAATGTATATACTTAGATAGTATGCTAAGTGCTGTGACAGTTAGCCATTTACATAATGTTTAAAAATATACAAAAACAATGTGCATATCCATAATTAATACTGAATATGTATTTAAAATGTTTTTTAAATGCATGGGTATGTTAAACACCAGGGAAGTGACACTTAGCACAGAGAGGAATAAGAAATACCCTGCTCAAAGCTACTCAATAGTCTGTCCTGTCATAGTATGGAGAGTGCAAATCATAGACAGAGTAGAGAGCTGGCAGTGGCAACACTTGCAAAGTCAAACACTTGACATGGTTAATGCCCTGCCCTCTTCCTTATATGGGAAGTATAAACAAGTGCCCAAATACTTCTATAATCAACTAAGCAGCCACACTTATCCTGCCCCCAAAATAAATGCTGCTTCAGGGCCCTACAAAATGAGTAAGAGTGTGACAGCCCCTGCAACAGTCTGAGAGACCCAGATCACAGCTCTACTAATTTCTCTATGAAGCAGAAATAGAGAAAAAGAAGGAAATGGAAACACAAAGTGTCTATATTTAAAAAAGAAAAAAACAGTTCTGCTCATGACTTAAATTTGCTGTCACATTCCTCACTGCAGTATACGTCCTCAAGGGTCACCTTCACAGATTAATTTTAAAAAGAGAGCAAGATGGAATTCAGCTTTGATCTGAATATGAATTTAGGTAGCAATGAGTTTGGTGATGATATTTCTACATCACTTTCAATATTTCAAAGGATGGTGGGAGGGTAGACCTTGCCTTTCTGATTAAAGCTGAATCTCATTGACTAAGGTGCATTAAAATGACTGGAGGCAATATTTCTACAGAAATTATTCCTAGCTTCTCTTTTAAAGTCACATCAGAGTAACAAAGATTTTGAGTATTTCTAAAACAATATTTTTAATATCTCCAATAAAATTAATGTCTAACTTGAGATTCTGTGTTTTTTCCCCAGAAACTCAAGGCAACTGTATTTTATGAAATGTATCTTGGGACCAAACTTACTTTGAGATAAAAATCATAGGAGGATTTCACAAGGCCATTTGTTTCGGACAGTCTGAAGTATAAAACAAAATTAAGAAATGGGTTGGGCACCTAGAGCAAAGTAGCACATTTGTCCAAGTCAGACTACTCTGTTATTGTACCCACAAACCTTCAGCCACTGTTTCTAAACATAAGGTCCACAGACCTTCTGGTTCAGGATACCCTGGCTTGCTAGTTCAAAGTACAGATGCTGAGGTTCCACTTTAATCCAGTGAATTCAACTCTGTTTGGGTGAGCCTTGAGAATCAACTTGAAAAAGAAAAGGCACTCTTGATGGGGATGCTGGCTGGCATTTGACCATAAAGTAGCCTTCTTTCATCCTGAAGGTCTTACTTTCCTACCTTACAAATGCTTAAATTATCCATTAAGTACAGTTGTACATTGTTGAGCCCTGGCACCTGGGAACTATTAAATAGAGAAATGAATCTCAAATAAACAAAAGGCTCTACAGTTAACTATGGAAAGGAATTTGTTCTCTAGCATGTTCAGCTGAAATGCATATTAGAACCCTTCTAGAACTCCATGTTAAAAAAAATGCAATCTCTGGGAAGTGGAATTCTGCATTGGCCTTTAGGTTTGATTTTCAGTCAGCTATTGCACAATTTAAATCACTATTTAAAACCTAATTAAATATAGTCATGACATACCTTATTTATTCTTGGTAATGTGTTCACATATTGAATAAGTATTTTCTAGACATGTATGGTACACCAGACTCTACGATAGCCACATCACTTAGTTCATCTATGTCTGCTCTGGTATCAGAGAGTCTGCAATTAAATCCTAATTCTACCACTTAATTAGCTGTGAGGCCTTGAGAGTTACTTAATCTTTCTATATCAGTTTTATCTTCTGGAAAATAAAAAGGGAGATAATGATACTGCCTATCTCTTAAAGCTGATTAAGAATTAAATGAGTTAATACTTTTAAAGAACTTATAACAGGGTCTTACAAACTTACCAGTAATCATTAGCTGTTACTCACAATAATATTAATAAAATAAAAATAGATTTGTTAGGTCCTATTGTAAGCACAAATGCTCTGCAGAACCCCCTTCTGGAATAGTCTACCCGCTAGTGTAGACTACAATCTGCTTTGCCCTGCCAAAATAATTGGAGAAGCACGTTTTACTGGCTTTTGAATCAGACTTAGGTTATGAGCTTCTCCCAAACAACTAACCATATCACCACCATTCCCCATGCCTTAAAAGAAAGATCTGAGCTAGCGGTATGACTCAAACAGCAAGAGTGCCTGCCAAGCAAGTGTGAAGCCCTGAGTTCAAACTCCAGTGCCACAAAAAGACCCAAACAAAATAAAACAAAAAAAACAAAGATCTGCAATGTACAGAAGCTTCTTGTTGCACATTTTGTCAGCTTTTCTTTCTTCAGAGCCAGAGAAACAAGAATCTAGGCTTGAGGTCAATGCAGCCTTGCCATCCCTACAAGCGCTGTGATGGCTGAGCAGCTTAAAGCCTGGGCAGCAGTAGCAGCCTGGAGATCCTGAATGCAATACAGGGCAGGGTGGGGTGTCCAGAAACAACCTGGTTATCATTCTCAATGCACAATGCTCGTTGCCTTGCTGTCTCTGGTTTCCAAATATGCCTTGATAAAAGAGACTTACTGTGGTAATAAGGAGGCCTGAAGGTCTTTTCAGTAACTCCCCATCTAGGTGGGAAGATGACAAAGTCAGCAATGGCCACTCCAGGGCGGACAGACTTGGCAGTCAGCACTGTGAAAATGGATGGGTCCTATGAATACACAAGGAAACTGAATGTAAGATGCAAGGGAGGTGACTAGACAGTGACACATATCCCACACATGAAGGTGTTTTCAAGTGACAGTTTAATTTCAGATCAAATGACACAGTTCAGGTTTCATAGCCTGGACTTCTGGTTGAGGAGCATTTGACTGTCCCCTTGCTGCGTTTGAAGCAAAACTTATTTACACCAGCTGGTTTTTTTCACCCTGCTGAGCCCATATTACACACACCCTACCATCCACAGCTCCAAGAGCCAGGGTACCTGCCTTCCAACTTCAGATCAGGGCAGCAGGGAGCTTCTGGTGGAAGAGATGCTTGGTTTAAGGTGGCAATAGAAATAAAATAGCTATTTAGGTCTTAGTGTTGATGTGGACATACTTCTCTTTAAGGGAATCAGAGATTCCAGATGGTGTCCATGGGCAGCCAAGTCTAAGAACTGGTTCATGCCTTCTGATCCTTGAATGACTCTCAGATCTAAAATATACCATTTACATCACTAGTCTTGGTGGTGGTAGTGTAGTTGTAGATAGGCTGAGGGACAAGATTATGCTTTTTAAAGAACTTTAGGCTCCTTCAGAGGAAAGATTGAGTTTTAATTTAACTGACATAAAAAACCATGTTTGCTTTCAGATGCCTAGGGATTTGAAGATGATTGGGATATTTTACCTGTCCTATAATATTAATTGTGGGGATGGGTGGGGGGAGAAAGTAGCTATTTCCATACCAGAAAAGATTGGGAAAGATTTCAAAGAAGAGGTGTCATTTAAGTCAGGTCTTGAAGAATAGAACAGAAGAAAGGAAAGAAGGCAGAAGGAAGGAAGGGAGGGAGAGAAGAAAAAAAAAGGCATTTTTATCAGGAAAAATAGAAAAGACATTGAAGTTGACAGAGATTTTGTTAAAAGGAGAGAAGGTTAAAATCCAGGGTACACTGATGGAAGAGGAGCAAGATGTGGTATTTGAAAATCAGTCTAGGGCCAGAAGGCAAGGAGCATCAAATACCACACTTCAGAGCTTAGACTTAATCCTAAACCACGGGGGTCCTGCAAAGGTTTTCTAACGCAGTGGTGGGATGACTGGATCTAAATTGGGAAAATAACTATAACAGCAGTTCAGAGAAGACTGAACCCGTGTAAATTCAAATGAAAACAAAAACCAACCCTTATTGCTAGGAAAGTTAACATTTCTTCATCTGTCATGGGACATGACCTGAAACTATTAAAGAAAAGGTAGTAAGGCTCAGATAAACCTTTATCAGCATCTCAGTATGCTTTTTTGTGTTGGTTTGGGCTTGGGATCTTGGTTTTCTTTTTCCCCTTGGTTTTATTAAGAGTTGCTGTTGCTCAGAAAGGTAGTTTTGTCCCCCTAGAGATAAGTTGAACAGGATCCAAGTAATCCTTCTGTCTCTGATTCTCTGTCTTCTGTGCCAATTATCCCTCAACTTGTGGGTAAGGTTAATCTACTATGAACTAGGCTGCAAAATGAAATTACCCCCAGGATGTTAGATCTAGCACTTTATCAAGAATGTGAGGCCATGGGGCCAGCACTATAGACCAGGGACCTATTTGTGGCTCCCTAATTGACTGAAAAATGTGAGCAAGTTCATACTCTAGGATTTTTTGGTTTGAGTTCAAGCTGAACATCAGGAGTAACTTTAGAAGAGGGGTGTCTGCTCCATCACTGCTAACCACGGCCAGGAGCACAGGTACCTGGGTAGGCGGCCAGAGAAAGTGGAGGAGAATCCTGAAGTTTGTGAGAAGGACAGACACTTCTCCAGATCCATAAGTGTTCTTTTCTCCTGACTCAAACATTAGTACTTAGTTGTTGTTGTTTTTTTTAAGTTTTTAACTCATCTATGAGAGTTATTGTGATTACTCTGTACAGAAGTAAGCTGTGTTCATGGGTAATGTTGAGTGTCTGACTTGGCTTCCTTACCAGCTGTTATTTATTCCTTCTGTAAAGGACAAATGAGTATACCTAGGCCTTCCAAGGGAGCTCTTGGAAATGTTAGGTCTGTAAATGCCACAGGCCAGCTGTGGACCCCTCTTACCTGAGGGTTGCTTCATCCCCACGGATCCTACGTGGTCCAGACTTACCGCATGATCAAAGGCCACTGAGTTGATGACCATGAAGTTCTCCAGGTTGTACTTATAGGGTGTATAGTTCCCATGCCAGGCCACAACATTGAATGGGGAGAAATACTAATCACAAAAAGGAGGAAAGAATGATCCTAGTATGTAATGTTTTTGTAGCCATGATCCTATAATATGCATTAGCATAATTCTCTTTTTATTTGTCAAAGGGGTTAATTTTAAGTGCCAAACCTGTTGGCCTCTGCTGTTTGGCATGACCTCTAGATGTTCAAGGAAAATAACATGCCCAGGCAAATATAAGCAGTAAATCAGATAGATAAAATAAAGCAAACAAATAATTAACAGAAGAGATATCTGGGTTCTTTTTATTATGTGATTAATTTATTCTAACACATTACTCAATATGTTAAATAGTAACACATTTGTTATATTATAGATTATATGGTATGTTATCATTTAAAAAATTATTTTTATTATTACCTATACCTTTGCTTTTGTTCTGAGTTTACCAGGTTGGTGATATAAACCCAGCCAAGATAATTAACTGAGTTGTATCTGTTTTGTATCAACCATTACTTATATTTGAAATAAGGTGGTGATTGAGGAATATCAGTCTTGGTTGATCTGCTTGTTAGTCATTTTCTTGTTCAGAACATATTACACTGTATGTTTTCCACACTATTTATAAATATCTACATATTGCCAGGGTTTCCATTACTGGATGAGTAGAAGAACACAACCTTTGGAGTCACATAGGATTTGAATACTGATTCTACCACTTACTGGGACATTGGTAAATTATTTATCACTGGCTGGCTTGTGTTCACAACTATGAATAAGGCAAGCAGTACACTATTTGTAGTACTTTAGTGGTGAAAGGATGTCTGTGAAGTACCTAACACTGGCCTTAGCCATCAGTAGGGTGCTAAGTAACTATTCATTCCCTCCCCTGGCCACCAGCCCTTTTTCTTTACCTGTCTGGCGGCAAATAGCTTGCCCTGGTATTTATTAATCACAGTGTAACCACCTGGTACTTGACGATCTTCATACCAGGCAACAGGTATCAAGAAATCACGAGGATTGGCCAAGCCATTGGCTCCTAGAACATATAACCCCAAAACCTTTCAGATATTTCTGAAATAACATCGAAAAGATGCTCACAAAGAGAAAGATCTTCTTTTGTGTCAAAGAACCACACAACAAATTGTTTTCATTGCTCAGAGATTCACTGGATTCCCAGTCTGACGCCTTTTTAGGAGAACCCAAGGAATTTAGTTGCAAAAAGATTCGCAAAATTATCATCACCAACATCATCACCATTTCCTAAAGTTGTGGAGTATCTGTGCTTAACAAAATCATTTTACAAGCATTACAAGTAGGGGGAAGGGACTAGAAAAGAGGAAAAAGTATGATTTGACAGAATACCAAAACTTTGCCTTTCCAGGAAGCCCTGAAGACTATCTTTAGTCCTTGGTTTCTGATAGAAAGGACTGTATGCTGTTGTCCCACACAGACCTGTGCTCTTTAGACAGAATTCAAAATCCAGAGCTATAAAACTGCTGTCCAGCCTGAAAAATCTATCTGCCACTCAGGGAGAAAGTTTTCAGGACTTGCCTACTTATCCCTGCTTAGGAGTGAGTGTTCCCTTTAGAGAAAGAAAATAAATCAAAAGACCAAATATGAAAACCATAAGTGCAAAAACATAATTTAACTCTGAGAGGAGAGACCTGGGGAGTGTTTTATCATTTTCAGTTCCCAGGGTTAAAAAAAAATAAGCCTCCAGCTGGTTAGTAAATTATATATATTTTCCAGAGGGTACATGTTCCCTGGAACCTGGAGGCTATGCTGCCTGCAGAGCAGCAGGAAGCCAGACCAAAGTGGGGAGAGTGGGTGGTGAACAGGATGACAGACGGCCCACCAGGGCTCCAGCTGCCTCTCTGCTGCCTCCCACCTTCCTCTGAATATTTGGATCTCCCAGGGGAGTGACCAGAAGGCACATGCTGCCCTGTCCCTGTTTTGCTCTGAAAAGCTGTTGACAAGGAAGGGAAGACTGGAAGATGTGGCCAAAGATGAAACCAATGCTAATTTCCCCAGCTCTCCTTTCACTCCAAGGGTGAAAGAAGATTTGAGAACAATTGCTCCTAACACCTTCACTTCCCTTCGGCATCTCCTGCCTCAGGTGCCAGGACTGGAAGACCTTGGTTCATATTTGAATGTTTTAATCTGTCTCACAGTAGCCGTTTTTCTAGCTTCTTTGTAGCACTGAGTGCTATACCTTTATTACTGCTAAGTGTGTGAATTTTGTGGAGTATGTGCAGTGTATAAAGTACAAAGTCTATGTGTTGCCCAGTTCACTCCCTTTTTCCATAGGACTAGAACCCTGGGCATTTCACCCCACTTTATTGTCTATATACAACCCATTGACTTAAAAAAAACCACAATTATTCACAAGGCTCATTCCCACTTGTATACTTTTGCTTATACTGTTCCCTTTCCTCTTTACTTCTTTTCAATTTTCCCTCAAGAATTAGTCAAATCTTATCTCTTCTATAAACTATTCCTGGTAACGGTAGCTCATAGTAACCCAAACTTCTATATCTTTTGCAGTGTATACTGTATAACTAGAAACCTATTACTCACAATCTTTATCTTCAATGGTCTATATATTATTCTAGAGAAACATATATAATGGCTTGATTTTGGTCATTTTCTGTTGACTTTTATATGATTTGGGTCATATTCTATTTATGGGAAGACACTTGGTCTAGGGAAGCTGACTGGAGAGGAAATTTGAAATTTGAGTGAGGCAGTGAGAGGAGAAGGATGTTTAACATTCATGCAATGATCTGGGTCTTATATCTCAAGTGAGGATTAGAGGCTTAGAGTGAAGATTTACCAATGGGTCCCAGGTCAGGTAACTCAAAGTGGACACCATAGACTTCCAGGATGTAGCCCCTGGTCTCTTCGAAGACATCTATGCTGAACCGCATTCCTCTCTGGAATGGACAGACACATAGGTGTACCCTTTTAAATCATACTTGTAGTTATAAAGAAGTTTTCCCAGAGTCACAAATAGTCTTACATGCATAAGTAAAGCTGTAGTTTCTTCAGCTATGTTTGAGAGGCAACCAGATTAAAGAAAAGAAAAATTTAACTCCTAATTACATCTGTGACTCAAGCCAATAATTGTCTAACCTCTCACTGAGTCCAGAGATAACGGATGTCCTAATTCAACCATTTTTTCTAAAAGCACCTTCACTGCCTCCTATCTCCAACACAACCTTATGCAGAGCAGGTACAAACATTTAGGGAAGTGAACTGATAAATACTCTTTCCTTTGTGATTATGTGCTATGTTAAAACAAAACAGGCACCAAGCCTGCTTACCCTTCAGCACATGCAGACTTCTGTGTAACTCAAACTCCTCCCTGTTGCCCAGACATGACAAAGACATTTTAGAGTTGAAAATAGCAGCAGCTGAAACATCTGATTGCTCCCAAATTAGGGAGCGACAGGGAGGAGAGGGGGCACATTACCAACCTGAATGACGCAAATCTCGTTGGGCTTCACAAGCATCTTGCCAAACTCCGTGTAAATGAGAAGCTTCCCTTTCTGGGGAACTGACAAAAAAACCCCAAAAAACAAACAGGGCAGTTTTGAGCAACCCTTTTCATGCAAGAACCATTCCATGAAGGCTTAAAGGCTGTATTTGTTTTTTATCCTAAATGAAAAGAACTTTATTCTGTCTCTTGATGGGTAAAGCAAATACTGACAATTTCAATTAGCTACTTTACTATATAGAAGAATTTGGAAATTCTTCAAAATAACTCTGTTTTTGGTTGCCAGTTGAGGAGCTCGCATATGCACACTTCTGTGAACTGACAAAAAAGGAACACAGAAATAGGATGGAAAACTACTCATTCTGACAATTTTAGCAAGAGGATGGCATTTGCATGTTTAATATCCATGCCAAAATTCTGACTACAAAATACTGATAGTAAAATCACCAAATGGAATGGGAAGACCAGAACAATCTCTGATAAACCTTACATTTTAGATGGTTTCATGACAGGTTGTATTTAAATTTCAGTTATCAATGATAGATGGGCTTTTCTTGGGTGAGTTTGAAGGCCAATGGAGTTATCTAATAAGTTGGTTCATCTTGGTATCACTCTTTATTTCTTTTCAGCTACCCAAATCTCCCACATCAGAAAATCCCAGAAGAGATGGGCAAAGACAGAGAGACCAAGAAATAGAGTAGGAACTTTGAGGTATGCTAGGAATCTTTTTCAGACCACCAGTGGCCTCAAGACCTCAGTCTAAGAGGTCAATATGGGAAGGTGACGGGGAAGTAGTGAAGAGGTCTGGTAGAGATGAATCGATTTGGGTTGTAACACACTTGTGCATGGAAGCAATGCTAGGAATCTCTCAACTAGCAAAAATGCTGTGTCTTTCTTATTATTGCTTATGTCTTCTCTTCAACAAAATTGTAGAAAAGGGCAGAACAGGTTCTGCCCGGAAGTGGGGGGTAAGGGGAAAGGGAGGGGGCGGTGGGTGGGTGGGGTGGAGAAATGGCCCAAACAACATATGCACATATGAATAAATTAATAAAGAAAAAGAATAGACTTCAGTCTATAGGTTGCACTAAATAAAATAGAACAGATTAGAGAATGAAAGAAAATAATCTGTAGAAAATTAGAATGTAGCTTGGGGCTAGGGATCAATTAGCAGTGAAGGGATCTGAAACCTTTGAACTCACCAATCAGGAAATCCCCATCTGAATTGTAGATGCATCTGAAACATACAGAGTACTTCCTGTGATTTCAGTTTTAACACTATCTGGACAAATTAATTCATTTTACAAATTATTGTTTAGTGCCTCTTGTCTACCAGGTGCTTGGTACAAAGCAGAATCTCCCTCATGGAGCTTAGTGTCTGATAGAGAGTCAGAGAGCAATCAAATAATTGCAGAACTGTATCATCATAAATTATGTCACCATGACAATCAAGTTCAGGGGAATAAAAGAATAGACACCTGTACTAGTTAGGGGAGGCAGCAAAGGCTTGGGACATTTGGCCAGGGACCTGTTTGTATTATCTAGCTAGACAAGAGGAGAGGACACTCCATGTTTCACATGCCCTGAGGCAAGAGGGCCTGTGAATGAAAATTAGTGTGACTTGAGTGGAGAGAGGGGGCATGGGTAATATGAGAGGAGGTGTTCAATATGAGGCTGAACCCAAATGGAGACCTTCAGTGCCTTGTCACAGGGCTATGCTCTTGGCCTTGATTCATGGCTCAGAGAAGTTAAATGGCTCACACAAGTTCACTCAGCTAGCAAGACTGGAGTTTGACTTTGGGCATAACAATGTGATCCAGAGGTAGACAGTCTGTTTCCCAAAGAAAAGGCAGGAATTCTACTTACTTTTTTATTATTAAAAAAAAAGCCACTATATAAAATTCTCTGCTCAGGAACATTAAGCTCACACACAGCTATTAGCTGAAGTCAAGTCTGTCAGCTTGACCTGCCACCAACAGGTGGCCCTAATGGCTGTTCATGCATGTGACCTTGTATTCAACAACAGCCATGGGGAACCTAAATCTACCTAAAGTCAAACCTTGTTCTCTCCCCAAAGTAGCATTTCCCTAAACTTTTCTTTCTTGAATTATTCCTTCATTCCATGACCCAATATTCTCTTTCTGTTTGCATGGTTAAGTGACAGTCTTGCTTATGCCATAAGAGTCAATCAAAATAGAAAAGCTTATTTGTTATCATTATTGATAAATATTTATCAATATTGCACTGAAGAAAAAGAAACAATAAACACAGCAACGTTCATGTATATGTGACTACAGGAGTGAGACCTGGCCTTTACCCTCTGGCCAACAGCCAGTGGGCACTGGGGATATCCTGTTCCAGCACTGAACCACTTACTTGTTCTCCATAGAGGTGTTGCATAGAAAAATGTGGATAGCAAGCCCATTGTTAGACCTGATGTCTCCAGCTCCACACAAGGTATGCAGGCCCTGGGAGAAGAGGGAGGTGTGAATATGAGTAGTACCCAAGAGACCAGCCCTCTGGCCCCTGAGGGTCACCAGGCAAGGTTCTAGCAGGGTCTAGGGTTTGAACTCAGGGCCTTATGCTTGCTAGGCAAGCACTCTACCACTTGAGCCATGTCCCCAGTTACAGGGTCTTCCCTTTGGGACCAATGAGACATTTGGGATCTAGGCTACCTCTGGAGAATTTACTGACATCTTTGATAGGTTGTGGTTCACCCTAGTTGCCAATGATGGACTAAATCTGGATTGTCTTAATGACTACATTAGGTGAATTTACAGAGCATAAAGTCATTACTTTTAGTGAAATAAAAAAAGTGTTATTTTATCAGTTTGATCCTTAAGATCAAACTGCAGGACAAGTTCTGTTGGAGGTGTTTTCAGGTACATGGAAGACTTGGGGGGAGAGAGGCTCAGGTGCCAGTTAGTACCCCTCAATATTCTCCACACTATGAGAAGCCCTTTGCTGTGAAGAAAGCCAACCTCATCACCAGATCAGGATGGAGAAACACATTCTGACTGACTGTCATTGTTTTTTGCTATGTAACCAGATAATCCATAGTACAAGAAGCCTTAATAATAGGGTCTTCTCAAAACAACTCTCAGCCCCTTACCTGAAGATGGAGAGCCCAAAAGGAGGGAGCTCTGCTCCCTAGGAAGGGAACTATGGACATTCACACAGGAAGGGGAATTTTTGTATTTCACCCAATTTGCAAGTTTGGGGTCTATTGAAGTGAGTCTGCATAGAATTTGGAGCAAGCAATAAGCATAAAGACTCCAAAGTGATTGAAACAATTTGACCTATGGCAGGACACCTACTGTCCTGAAGTAAGTCATGAGCTAAGTTGATCTGCAGACCCTCCACTGGCCTTTTTGAACCCCAGCTCCTGATAGCTCCCACTCCTCTCACCCATGTACGCCTTGCTCTGAACACAGGTGTCCTGGTACTCCCAGCACTTGCAATTATCCACAGACATTGCCAGTTTGCACTGACGTAGCCAGAATTGCCATCCTGAGTAAGTGCCAATCTAGCCCAGACATCCATTTTAGGAGGTTCATGAAGTTAGATGGGAAAAACTTTTATATTTACTTTTTACTAATCTCTGACTGAAATTTATCATTTCCTTCAATTAATATGAATCCCGACAACAAAATATGGCAGTATTAGAAATGCATGATTTCATAACCTTGTCATGAAATCATGGATATATTTACATCACAATACAGTTGTTACAGATATCTCAAAATAGCATTTATGCTCATATCATAGTTATTAGATTTTTCCATAGACTATGATTTGGTACGTTAATAAGGAAGCATAGATATGACTATAAACCACATACAATTTCTTTTTCTGAAATATTTTTATCACTGTGTATTAGAATAATTAGCTTCTTGGTAATTTGATGTAATCTATTTTACACATTTATAAACACAATCAAAGGGGGTTCATGGAGCAAAAAGGGTTAAGAGCCCTGCTCTAACCAAGAAAAGGAGCTTGAGGCAGGAAAATGTTCAATTTCCTTCGGCCTTTCTGTGATGTACATAGCGCATGGGTGCCCTTTGGTGTCAGGTGCCATATGGTGAGTATGTAGAACATCCCTTGGCCAGCCCCCATGGCACACGCAGGTGACTTTGTCTCTGCTGCTTCCCAATAAGGCTGCTTCTGCTTGGCAGTCAGCCTGCAGTGGTTAAATCACTCACTGCAGAAGAGAGGAGGGGCAGTGGTAAGGTGCAGAGAATATTGACTTACCTTCACAAAGTCCACTTGCTTCTGAGATGCTTTTGGAATCTCAAATGGTTTCCATCTAAGCTGGAAAAAAAAATACACATACAAGAAAATTACTTTGTAAGGGGAAACCATAGACCTTCTAAATAAATAGCATCAATTACATAGAAGAAAAAGGACAGCTGCTCCCTCTGTGAGGTTCTGACCGGTGTGATTTTGTTCTTGTAAAATTAATGATTATCCATCATTCCTTAAAGGGGCTCTGTTGGGGTGTGTGTGTGTGTGTGTGTGTGTGTGTGTGTGTGTGTGTGTGTTGTGTGTGCTCCATGTGAGTATGTGTGTTTATGTGCTTAAATCTATATGAATATAAATTGCCTTTGTTCCTTAGAATGTCCAATTATAAAAATAAAAAGAAACGATTGCTTCCTCTTTCAGAAGCTATTTGTTTCCTTTAACATTTTGCTCAGGCACGTCAGTGAGTTGTGACTGATGCTGCTTTGCATGCTATTTATACTCCGCTCTCTTCCCCAGTATGCCAGCCTCTCTGTGTGGGCTCCTGACACTGCAGGAGAAGGTTCTACTTCTACTTCCAGCCCTTGGAATTTTGAATTATTTCTTTAAGAGAAAGAAAAAGCATCCAGCTGACATTGGATTTGGTAAATGCAGTACCGGGTTCAATTTCTTCACCAAACCCCATGTTTGTCCCCAGGCTGCCTGATGGTTCAGTTTAAATCACAACAATCTTTAATAATGAACTCATCTGAGGAAGTGGGGAGAAAAACCAGCAGACTCAGGCCCCGCTCAAAGTGTCAGCCCACCACTTTATTAATGAACCTGGCAGTGGGGCTGACCCAGCAAGGAGGCTGCTTATAAGCCCAGCAGCCCCCAGGCACATCTCATGGGGTGACTTATACCTCGGGGCTGGCTCCATTGGCTGTTGCGCCTGGTGAGGGCAGGCTGGGCTAGGTCCCCACCAGTCCTGGGGCTCAGCTCATTCTGTATTTCAGAAGGACAGCCAGATGGGACAGGAAGCAGCAAATGGAAAGTGCAGCGCTGGGATTATTCCGATGCACTTTCCATTGCAAAGGTGGATTTGAAAAAGATGGTGAAATTGTGTTTCAGAAGAAAGGAAATTCTTCAGGACTAATTCCCTCAATGATGATATCTCTTGGGAGAGGAAGGGAACTGAGAGCACGGGTCTAGGAAAGGGTTTTGCAAATTTTGGCATTATTGACATTTTGTGATGGATAATTTGGGGGCTGTCCTGTGCATTGCTGGATGTTTAGCAGTATCCCTGACCTCAGGCTTCTAGATGCTGTAGCATTTGCTCAAGTTGTAACAACCTAAAACATCCCTAGACATTGTTAAATGTCTCTTGGGGGTCAGATTTCCCCTAGTTGAAAACTACAGACCTAGAAGGAGATATTCCCCTGACTCCAGGAAGGACCACAATGAGCACTGTTAGGTTCTGTGTGTGCTCAGCATGTGCTCTACCACTGACTGAGCCATGCCTCAGCCCTGAGCACAGTTGGAGTC